TCAGTGTGTCAAAACACCTGTAAGAAACCAATCGACGCTACAGCCAAAGTGCAAATTCTCGTTTGGAGGCAGATTCCAAAAGACGTATTTCGATAGCATTAAGGTCGGTAAAGTGTATTCCATCAATCCTAAAGTGGATTTATCAATCTGCAGTACTATGATGATAGGCATCCGGTGATTGCAAACCAGTTTGCTCGTGTTTTACCTATTACCGTGTTATGCCAGCGGACAATGGAACACAATAAAAACAGCTGTCGAAAATGTTCACATAAAGCAATCAAGAAGCTGAAACAACACGTGCAGTCATGAAGCGATCGGAAAACATTCATAGATCTTGAAGAAGTTAGGTCACCCGGAATGACGATATGGTTTACAACTACGCACAGGCGAGGCATGCAAAGTTTGGATAGCCTATTGCGATTATGCTAAGACAAAGACTGTAAACAGTCCATAATCAGTTCGCTATCGGTATTTTGCTCCACGTTAAGATAGACAGGGAGAGAACAAACGAGTGACTATGGTTCGGGGTATGTCCGTTCAGAATGCGAAACTTGGATAATTTTAATCATTCATTTTATTTTCTCAAAACAGTCGGGATTGTGAGTTCATGAATCCCAAGAACATGACCTATATAATACCGTTTAGAAGTGACCGTAAATCCACTTTGTCGAGCACGACAACGGTCAAATGGTCGATGATCGAAGATGAATTCCTCTCTCTCACTCTCTCTCTCTCTCTGGGTTATGTAACACAGCTATGGCCTTAGTGATGGTGAGTAACTGTCATTTCATACTGAGCTACTCAATAGCTGTTTGCTAAGAAGCATTTGTTTGAAGATGGTCAATACAATACAAAACACCTGTTGTGCACCGGACTTTATCACGATATCATTATGATCCAGATCAAACTGATTTCGGTTTTCGCGATGAAAAAAACAAATCAAACTGGTCCTTTCAGGACTCCGGACACGTACCCGTTTGATCTCGTGCAATTTGAGCAAATAGAGATGTTTGAAACAACAACGTTGCTTGCCCTCCATCAGGCCCAAATTCATCACACTGGTACCAGATGCACCGGATCCGGTTCGCGTGACAGTCACGTGTCCAATCGCTGTGCCTGCACCCGTCGTATCCCCGGCGGGACATGAGGTACTTGTTGTCCCGGTGGATGTATTGGTTTGTGAAACCAATCCGGACAAATCACCGGCCACAGACACTTGATCCCGATCTGTTGTTACCACATGTTCCACACCGTCACCTGAAACAAAAGAAGTGCCCGATGAAAATTGCCATCATGAACGAGTTCCACTATACTAGATCACTTTTTTTCGTTAGGACTAATATACATCAGTCTATTTTAAAGTATAACTGATACCGAGGGTATTGAAAGAAAAACTTGTACACGCTTCCAGTTATAATCAGTAAGCGTTTAATGTTTTGATGAGTAAATGAATAAACAGTTCCAAATGGTAATTACCAGGACAATTGGTGTATCTGTGTGGATGAAAAACGAGCCACAAGAAGATGAGTATTGCAGCGCGGTACACACTGGTTAGTTTGCACAGAATCGACGGGAAAAGCCAAAACGGTGGCGAGGATCGATCGTACAAGGAGCGATGGCGTTTATTCAGTCAGTCATGTGATCAATTAGTGAAGTACGGAGACAATAGTGACACATATATCGGACACGAATGAGGGAGCGTAAGGTGAGAAAGAGGCAATCAGGTAATATTAATTTAGTGTACGCAGGCTTGTTGCGTGCTGCGCTCATTATCTACGTGGTCATGTGACTTGAGTCTTCGTGCAATAACGGATAGAAGAGAGAGGCGCTACGATCGTCCCTAAACGGCGTAATGGAAATGCGCATCTCTTTCGATTCGTCATTTGCATAAACTGCAAAATTGGATTATTCAGAAAGGTTTATGGCTAGAGTAATTCGAAAAATGAGCCAATGCATTGTTCAAATGCGGGCCATCGCAACTGGACCGCAAAGAGTGAAAACATTTTAGGCATGTGAGAGGTATCTATGATTGCATTGACGGCGGCCAAGTAAAAACAGGAGGCATACAACGAGGGCGAATGGGTGGGGAATGCAGGATAAAAAGAGCAAGATGATTATGAACGAGAGAACGAAACAGAGTTGAATGTGAAGTAGAGAAACGGGGGATAGAACAGCGCAGGTTAAGGTAAACTGCACCCAGTT